TGATGCAGTCCTCGTGTGTTAACGGACAGGAGTGTACGCTGTCGTGCTGGGACTGCTGCAGGCTTTAGATCGATGCAACTCTTGCAGTGCAATTCAATGAAAGCGCAGAAATTGCCAAAGTAAAGGTGGAGGAGATTCAATGGGAAAGGAGTGACCAATGAGGAGCCAGAGCTGCCAGCTTTGGGCCAATCGGAACGGACGCAGGGCGTGGCCTGGTTGTAGATCGCCTTTAGGATCGTGAGCGCCTCTAAAGGTGGAGAAGGAAATTTCTTGTGCTTGTAAATACAGAAGTCGACGTTTAATGTCTCAAATAAGGAATTATTATTTTTTAAATTATATTATTATTTTTATTTTAAAAATCTGGGATACAAAAATGGATTTTAGACTATTGCCCATAAAAAAAAACTTTTACAAAAGCAGTTTCATACTGGAAAATTTTCAAGTCTTCTTAAGTCATTTGTGTGAGTAACAAACTGAAATCCTTATTGACTGAAAATCTTCACTTCTGCTGTTGCCCACGAACATTATCGTTTATTTATTTATTTATTTATTTTCTAATTATTAAAGGTGTTTGTGAATTGTATTTATTTATATGCTAATGATATGATAATAATTAAAAAAAATAGATTTATCTTTTGTGTCTCAAAAAAGAAACCCTTCCCTCCTTCCTGGATATAAATTCATTAGTCTGTAGAATAAGAGTGCTTTATTATTAGTGCATGTCTGTTCCAAGCTTCACACCCCCTGCCTCCACAACAAAAGACTAATTAAGATGGTAATTCTGTAATTGCTGAGGCCTGCAATCGCTGGTGCAAAATGAGCCAGTCTTTATTATGTGCATCTGAATCAGCATTGATAATCAGAAATGTCACAAATGTAAAAACATATATTAAATCAATGAAAAAAATATATTTTGTAGTTTTTATACTCCAATGTATACAGAGTTGTTCTCAGAGAAATTCCATGATCGATTTGTGATATAATAATAACTGAGGTTAAGATAGCCTATAAACAAATAAATGAATAATAATAATCAGATTTTATTATTAAGTTATTTCAGCACAATTAATTCACAACATTGTTTGTGAGTAACACACTTTTAATAGGCTCCAATGGACAACCTGAAGAGATTAACTGACCACAACATTAAATATTAAACAACATGAACAGTGCTTTGTATTGATTTTCTGCCAGAAAATGTTCTTAATGCATTTTTGTATTAAATACATTATTCAAGCCTCCTTTTTCCGTATACTGATTATTATCTCTTTAAAAATCCATATGACCATAATCTAATATGATCTTCTTTATTTATTTATTTTTTGACAATTACACCTTCTTCCATAAAGTAGTACAAACTCAAGTTGTGTGAAATAACATAATGATTTATAAAAGCAATCTATTGCTATTTGTAAAAGCAACAATCCTTTCATAGCAAGATATTTGTAACAGAGTGCATTTGCATCCTCAAAAAAGACTGCAGTCACTTCAGGCTAAAAAGAGGAAACCTAATTCAAAACTAACACAATTCATGCCACATACATCTGTTTATGTAAAAATATAGGCTACTGTGGAAACATGACATTAAAGACAATGGCAGGTTGCTCAGTTTTGGTTTATCTACTGTGCATGTTTGCACACCTCGAACATTATGGGGACCCTTGATGACCCCATTGACCTTGAGGCCAGTCAAATTAACTGCTGTTAATATATGAATATTGGAAAATAATTAATATGATGAGCAAGTTTTAACTCTAATTCCCATTTTGCACAGCTGACTCTTCTGAATGGTAACATTACACTCTAATGCTCTCCACTCAGAGCTCCTAATGAAGAGTGAAAGCATATCCATATGACCTCTGCTGGTGTCTCTTTGAATAACCTTGTTCCTTATTGAGGAGTTTTACTTTCGGAAATTAAATCATCTGTAGAAGCTGCAATATGATACAGCTACATGGCTACATCTGACTTATGTGTTTCAACCATTTACTTCTTAAATATTTGTGATCTTTACATTCTGTTGTTGCTAAAATTATGACAAAAACAAATGAAATTATGACATGATGAGATAAAGTCAAAACTATTAAATAAAAAGTTTTGACATACAATAGTCATAATTATGACATCAAAAGTCAAAATTTTAAGTAATTATAATTGCATTATTATGATTTTATCTCAAAATTTTGACATTTTATCTCAAAATGTAGACCTTTTATCTCATAATTATTTTTGTTCTATTGTAAACTTTTGTCATAATTATGACTTTTTTTTGTCATAACTGACTTTTTAATTTAATAAATTTGTGCTTTAATGTCATAAAAGTCTTTTTTATCTCATATCTGAAAATGTTGACTTTTTTAAATCATAAATATTTCATGTTGTAATTTAAATTTTTATTTTATAATTATGACTTTTTATGTCACATTTATGACTTTTTGTCTAATAATTTTGATGTACCTCGATGTCAACGTTTTACAAAAAAAATGTATGTCATAATTATGACATATCAAGCATGATTTTTTCTTATGTTGTGGTAATGTGCTTTTTTATTGAAAAAAAAAAAAGTAATGGAAGATAACATATTTTAGGCAGAAAATATCCAGAGAAAATACATATATACTCTCCTTTAGTTTGCCCTTTACACTGTTATTCTTTCCAATGCTATATAATGTGCCAGATCATTTAACCAATGATCAATGGATGGAGCTTCTATGTTCTTCCAGTAAAATGCTACTAGAATCTTGCAAGAACTAGGCAAATATCAATCATTTTAGTGTGATAACCTGATAATGATAAACTTACAGGAAATAAACCCAATTTCAGGGGTCACTGGAATCGGTTTTGAGATAACTGAGGAAATTAGTGTTGCACTTCTTGCCAGAATGTCTTACATTCCCAGATACAGTGAAATAATGTCCCTTTATGTTTTTGCCTTTTAAAACATATATCATAACTTTTCTGGGATGACATAAGTACGCATTACCCAGTTATATTGGATCAGTTTAAAGGGTTAGTTCATCCAAAAATGAAAATTAGCCTGTGTTTTACTCACCCTCAAAGCATCCTAGGTGTATGTGACTTTCTTCTTTCAGACGAATTCAGTCGGAGTAATATTAAAAATTGTCCTGGCCCCTCCAAGCCTTTCAATGGGGGTAAGCAGGTGTTGGTTGTCAACAGTGCAGAAGACGTAAAATAAAGTGCGTGCATCCGTAATAAAACGTCCCTCACACGGCTCCATGGTGAATAAAGGCCTCCTGTAGCGAATCATGCGTTTTTGTAAAATAAATATTCATATTTCAAACGTAATAAACACTTTTGTCTCACTTCTGCTGACTGTGGTACGTGGAAGACATGCAGATGGATGACGTAGGACGTAGTCGTCGTGCGCGCGCCTCTGAGAAATGCAGGAGTAAAGGAAACAAAGTTTCCTTACTTTAGCAAAGGAAAACCAGTCTCCTCTTGGCTTATATGAAATCCTCCGACATTTTTCTTTACAAATCCTTGTTTTGTGCTTCTAATTCGTGAACGGCGTTTTGTTTTGTCTCTACGTTTTCATCACGCAGCAGCGACGTCCTACGTCATCCGCCGGAACGGCTTCTGCATATGACAGTCAGCGGAAGTGAGAAAAAAGTGTTTATTACGTTTGAAATATGGATATTTATCTTACAAAAACGCATGGATTCGCTACAGGAGGCCTTTATTCACCCCCTGGAGCCGTGTAAGGGACGTTTTATTACGGATGCACGCACTTTATTTCACGTTTTCTGAACTGTTGACAACCAACACCCGATTACCCCCATTGAAAGGCTTGGAGGGGCCAGGACAATTTTTAATATTACTCCGATTTGATTTGTCTGAAAGAAGAAAGTTACATACACCTAAAATGCTTTGAGGGTGAGTAAAACACAGGCTAATTTTCATTTTTGGGTGAACCAACCCTTTAAATCTAGTATTAATTGACAAATTCTGGGCTTTAACACATCTGCTCCATTCTTAATTTGAAAGGTCATTTTGCAAATCTATAACCCAAGCAACTCTCTTATTCAGATGATTCTTTAGAGCTGTTAACAAAATTATGACATAAAAAGATGAAATTATGACATCATGATGAGATTATGAAATAAAAAGTAGTTTTGACATACAAAAGTCGTACTTGTGACATCAAACGTCGCATTTTTAAGTAACTATAATTGCATTATTATGTCTTTTTATCTCAAAATTTTGACTTTTGTGTCATAATTAGGGCTTTTTTTATCTCATACTTGTGACAAATTATTAACAAATTTGCAATAAAAATTTGGTTTCTACTAAGATCCTCATAAAACAAGCTCTGTTGATAAAAGTCTAGATAGTGAATAATTTTGTTTGACATTGATATAGCTGTGAATTTGTAAATATTAAAAAAAAAGTGTATCAGGTTATGCTTTTAAAAAAAAAAATGGCAGAGTACTAATAAAACATTTAATTATGTAGGCTATACATTCATTTATTTTGTCTGTCTGTCTGATATTTTACAAGAGCAGAGATTATAAATCTTTGATTACTTTATAGTGTCAGAGAGGTAAGGGTTAGTGGCGGGTTGGAGTTTATGGTTTTAATGAGGTTATAGAGATAGTGGCGGGATTGGATTTAGGATTTTGTCTGCTCTGTCCTAACTTCCGGTGTCCTGACATTTTATCCTACCCGTCAATTGTCCTACCAGGGTTTACTGCGCATGCGCACATCAATATTGCGTCCTTTTTCTCACGCTGAACAACAATATTTAATGTATCTGCATTACTGTAAGGGTAGGTTTAGGGTTGGGGTATGTGTAGACTTTAATTAACCATATTTTTACAGGTAGCATTCTTCGTTGTCGAATTGTACTACCCACAGTTTTAATGAGAGGTAGCATAATCTGACAGGGTAGCACAAATCAACAGAACAGGTGCTGGACTGGCGCTTCTGGTAGGAATGGCTTTGTTTGCGGGTCTGCACCACATGCACGTTTATCATAAGTAGGGGTGTTTGAGCTCGTTTTACAGCATTCTTTTAAGCCGTTTAGTATTTTTCACGCGCGCTTGTCTTTAGACAATGGCTTCTAGAAAGGCAGCCCGAAAGCTGTTTGCGGAGAAGCCTGTTCTGGAAGAGCTTGGTAATGGTATTGAAAACGAATCTTCCAACGACGGCGAGTCAGTGTCGAAGGCAGATGAGGATAAGGAAGGGGACCCTGATTTTGAGCCGTACGTACACATTTCTAAACTTCTAAACGTGTTTGTGGGTTTCATATCTGTGTGTCTGCTCCGTGCATTGTGTTTATCTGTTGTTCCATACATATTTGAATTGTCGCGCACATTTATACATGTGTTGCTTGCATTAATCGCATTGTGCATTTTGCGTCTCTTGCATTCTTCTTTGCACATCTCTTACGTGCATATGTGAATTGCGTTTGTGTAACTGTTACATGCATTAGTGATGTGACATTTGAACCGAGGCATCGGAGCTCGTGTCGAGAAGGGTTGAGTGCCATGCGCATATAACGGTGACATGTCGAGTGGCAGCTGCCGGTGGCACGGAAAGATTTTACTCTTGTTGATAAATGGGCGTGCTTCTTCCTACGGAGCGTCTTTCACAGGCTTTTGGCTGCTTTATTTTTTACTAACCACCAGATGGCGCTGTTTTCGACACTCTCGAAGCTTTGAATCTTTTTCCGAAACAGTCAGAGGAGAGCCTCAGTGCCTCACGAGGCTTCATTTGCCCATCACTAACATGCATATGTGAAATACATTGTGCACATGTCCGATTCACAAACACGAGCAGGGTTGCCAGGTCTGCATAAAAAAACTAACCCAAAACTGGCCCAATGACCCCATCCCGAATATCAAACAAACAAATAAATAAATAAATTGTACAATATTTTTATAAATATATGTCACTAGTATGCATTATTTACAATCGCCATATAGTAGAAATCATACACACAATCTGTTTTCTCTACAAGGGTCCCACAAGTGCCCCTCTCTCACAAAACCCATCATAGCACAGTTTTATCATTGGTAGAATGAAAAAATGGGTAAAATATTTCAATACAAGCACTTCAGTCAAATACAATTCATGCAGTATGTCAAACCTTAAACTAGTGGCTGTTCTGGATTATGTGGTGCCCTAGGCAAAAACAGACATACCCCCAAGGGGAGACAATATTACATATGTAATAAAGTCGAAATAGTATTGTATGTTGATACACTTTTATTGCAGAACTTTATGCAATAACAACAAAAGACAAATGCACTAAATAAAATAATTTAATAGATGCATTTACAATAAGCACTTAACTCAAATAACTGTTAAATTATAAAATAAATAACTACAGAATTGGCTGAAATCAGCTTGCTTCCATTTAGTGGGATTACTCTTCAACTGAATTAAAACTTTAGCCCTTCTGGTCTTCACTGAGATGCAAGGGCTGATGCAAAGTTTCAGGATGTGAACGTGATATCTGAGCAAAAGCAGAGCCAATTCATAAGAGAACACTGTATATTTGAAAGCACGCATCCAGTTTTGTGCAAGTGCGTAGGAAATCTGCCTGCAAGTGTAGAGATTCTTGCTCATGCATTACATGCTTCCTTATAATGCTTCCTTGACATTTGTCATTAAAATAACACCATAGAATCTGCCTAAAATTAAGTATAGACTAAAGAAAAGAAAGAAGTGTCTGAGTAGTGTAGTGTGCGTTCACATATGCATGCATGAGATGCACATGTGTATTGCGCATGCCCACTAATCAGTGTGTGTTTGTTCTGTGTTACAGTCTATACTCAACGATGATGAATGGTCAAACAGTGAGCCAAGCTCCAAAAAAATGTCGTATCGTCCCGTCCCCTATCATCACACCACACCCCCCCAGAACCCCTGCATCCTCTGCACGTTCCTTGAGTCCAAGGTCAACTCCCAGAGGAAGATCTCGTTCTCCACGGGGGAGAAAAAGGTCTGCAGGTTGCATGTCAGCGGACAGTGACATGGGCATTTGGAATGACATCAGCGTGGAGGATGAGGCTCTAGTGCTACCCAATTTTGTTCCAAAGAGAACTCCAGGAGCTCAGCTCGTCTTGGACAGAATGTATTCCCCTTTGCAACTATTTCAGCTTTTCTTCCCAAACTCCGTGGTGGACACCATTGTGAAGAACACAAATAGTTATGCAAAAATGAGGTCTGAAGCTGGAAAGAAATTCCTGTGGGTCCCTATGACGGCGAAGGAACTATATTTGTATATTGCGCTTGTTATTTACATGGGGCTCCTCAGCACAAAAACGATTGTAGATTACTGGTCAGGCAAAAAAAATTACAATTTACCTTTTCCAAAATCAGTGATGTCCAGGGCTAGATTTCATGCCATCTCTTGGAACCTGCATCTTTGCAATCTTGAGGAGGATCGAGCGAATGAGCAGAAAAAGGGGACTCCAGACTATGACAGACTTTTCAAAATCAAGCCCCTGTACACTGACATCATCACAGCATGCAAAACGTACTTCCAACCAAACAGACAGCTGGCAGTGGATGAAAGGATGGTGGCGTCTAAAGTAAGAATCAGCTTCAAACAGTACATGAAGGACAAGCCAACCAAGTGGGGTTATAAACTCTTTGTTCTTGCTGATTCTGCGTGTGGCTACACATGGAACTTCTTTGTTTATGAAGAAAATGGTTTCAATGTGTTCAACGATTCACAAGGCATATGATGGCTCTACCGTTTCTAGGCGTGTAAGGAATCCCAAGAAAGCGTGGGAAGCACGCCAAATTCCAATTCCGGCGGCAGCGAAGGACTACAATAAATATATGGGAGGAGTGGACCTTTCAGATGCTCTGATTGGGTACTACAATGTCCTACACAAGACCAAAAAATGATACAAGACCTTTTTTTCCCATTTTGTCGATGTCGCTCTGTGTCTTCTTGGCAAAGGCTACCATGTGTACATGGACAACTTCTATACAAGCCCAGGCCTTTTGTTGGACTTGCTGGATAAAAAGACACTTGCGTGTGGCACGATACGCTCCCACGTACAGGGCTTTCCTAGAACAAGGGCCAACGAGCTCAGCGAAAGGGCGCAAAGAGGATCCACACGCTGGCTGCGGGAAGGTAAGATCCTCTTTGTGAGGTGGATGGACACAAAAATGGTTTCAATGTGTTCCAACGATTCACAAGGCATATGATGGCTCTACCATTTCTAGGCGTGTAAGGAATCCCAAGAAAGCGTGGGAAGCACGCCAAATTCCAATTCCGGCGGCAGCGAAGGACTACAATAAATATATGGGAGGTGTGGACCTTTCAGATGCTCTGATTGGGTACTACAATGTCCTACACAAGACCAAAAAATGATACAAGACCTTTTTTTCCCATTTTGTCGATATCGCAGTGGTGAACAGTTTAATTCTCCACCAGCATCTGTTGAAAACTCAGAACAAGACCCCTCTCAACCAGAAGGACTTTCGAGAGGCACTTGTGGCAGAGCTGGTAGGGATTGTCATACCGCCCAGTGCCTCAGAAGCCAAGGAGCCATCCACATCATGTGGCCAAGTGCCATCCAGACAAGAGACCTCCACATCTGCCTTGTGGCAGAGCTGGTAGGGATTGTCATACCGCCAGTGCATCAGAAGCCAAGGAGCCATCCACATCATGTGGCCAAGTGCCATCCAGACAAGAGACCTCCACATCTGCTGTCGAGGAACAGCTATGCTGGCCAGAGTATTTCGGATCAGATGCCACAAGTGGGAGGAGGGTCTGTGTCCTGTGCAAATTTTTGGGTCACAAAGTAAAGACACCTGTGTACTGTACAAAATGCAATGTAGCTTTGTGCTTTGTGTCTTCGAGGAACTGCTTCAAAAAATGGCACACTGAGAAACCCTCTGAAAATGACGAGGAAAAATAAGTGTATTGTGTTTTGTCAGCAGAAGTTTGACTAAAATCTGTGCACTTATCCCATTGAAGTGCTTAGTTTTTTTTTCATTATATAGTAACCTCTTGCATTGTAGATTAGTAGCTGTTGACATTTATATATCCCAGATTTGTATAATGTGCTTTACACTACATATGGTTCCTATATCCATTTCATTTTTTTTTTTAGTTTTTTGGGGACTTTTTTGTAAAGTTGAACTTTTTGCATATTTATGTATGTATGTATGTATGTTTAATATATTTATTTATTTATTTTAATTTTTCGGTCCGACTAGTTGTATTAGTATTGTGTAAAATAAAAAGCAAGAAATGGTCTCCTTTTGCTTGTTTGATGGGCACAGACATTTTGTAACAATTTATGAAGTGTGATGCCTAGTGTTTTAAAATCTGTTCTGATTTATCTGGTGTTGTGTATTCCAGCCTTTAGTGTGATAAAATATGTGAAGATTCTATTGTCATGTATAATATGTAGTAAAAGTAGCATTTTTTGAATTAATGTTTGCAGTTCAACAGAAGATACCCCTCTAACTGACGCAAAGCTTCATTGGACGAAGGAAAAAGGTGGCTAACCTTTGATTAGAAGGTGTAGAACAGAGGTTTCCAAACTTTTTTTTTAAGGGAGTCAGATTCTATGATATGGACACACCAGGGAGCCGGATGCTTCTCCCTATAAATACTGTGGGTATAGAAAAGAATCACCCCCCTTTACAATAATCACATTTTGTTGCTTTGCAGCATGAAATGAAAACGGACACAGTTTTTGTTTTATCCAGCTGTATTTACTCAGTGCAACTTATAACATCGGAGGAGAGTTTGTGTCCTGTGCAAAATTTCGGGTCACAAAGTAAAGACACCTGTGTACTGTACAAAATGCAATGTAGCTTTGTGCTTTGTGTCTTCGAGGAACTGCTTCAAAAAATGGCACACTGAGAAACCCTCTGTCAATGACGAGGAAAAATACGTGTATTGTGTTTTGTCAGCAGAAGTTTGACTAAAATCTGTGCACTTATCCCATTGAAGTGCTTAGTTTTTTTTTTCATTATATAGTAACCTCTTGCATTGTAGATTAGTAGCTGTTGACATTTATATATCCCAGATTTGTATAATGTGCTTTACACTACATATGGTTCCTATATCCATTTCATTTTTGTTTTTGTTTTTTGGGGACTTTTTTGTAAAGTTGAACTTTTTGCATATTTATGTATGTATGTTTAATATATTTATTTTAATTTTTCGGTCCGACTAGTTGTATTAGTATTGTGTAAAATAAAAAGCAAGAAATGGTCTCCTTTTGCTTGTTTGATGGGCACAGACATTTTGTAACAATTTATGAAGTGTGATGCCTAGTGTTTTAAAATCTGTTCTGATTTATCTGGTGTTGTGTATTCCAGCCTTTAGTGTGATAAAATATGTGAAGATTACATTGTCATGTATAATATGTAGAAAATAAGTGTATTGTGTTTTGTCAGCAGAAGTTTGACTAAAATCTGTGCACTTATCCCATTGAAGTGCTTAGTTTTTTTTTCATTATATAGTAACCTCTTGCATTGTAGATTAGTAGCTGTTGACATTTATATATCCCAGATTTGTATAATGTGCTTTACACTACATATGGTTCCTATATCCATTTCATTTTTTTTTTTAGTTTTTTGGGGACTTTTTTGTAAAGTTGAACTTTTTGCATATTTATGTATGTATGTATGTATGTTTAATATATTTATTTATTTATTTTAATTTTTCGGTCCGACTAGTTGTATTAGTATTGTGTAAAATAAAAAGCAAGAAATGGTCTCCTTTTGCTTGTTTGATGGGCACAGACATTTTGTAACAATTTATGAAGTGTGATGCCTAGTGTTTTAAAATCTGTTCTGATTTATCTGGTGTTGTGTATTCCAGCCTTTAGTGTGATAAAATATGTGAAGATTACATTGTCATGTATAATATGTAGTAAAAGTAGCATTTTTTGAATTAATGTTTGCAGTTCAACAGAAGATACCCCTCTAACTGACGCAAAGCTTCATTGGACGAAGGAAAAAGGTGGATAACCTTTGATTAGAAAGTGTAGAACAGAGGTTTCCAAACTTTTTTTTTTAAGGGAGTCAGATTCTATGATATGGACACACCAGGGAGCCGGATGCTTCTCCCTATAAATACTGTGGGTATAGAAAAGAATCACCCCCCTTTACAATAATCACATTTTGTTGCTTTGCAGCATGAAATGAAAACAGACACCGTTTTTGTTTTATCCAGCTGTAATTAGTTACTCAGTGCAACTTATAACATACAAAGTGAAAGATATAATATATAGAATGTCTTTATGGTATTTAGGCTATAAACATTTATTTTGTATGCACAAAACTGCTTATAACAAAAAAATATCTGTAATTTGGCCTATATTTCATTGCTCCCTTAATACATTCAATAGGCCAACATGTCTACATTAATATGATCAAATTCAATATGAATATCCTACATTTCTGCCACAATACCACCGTTAGTGGCACAGTTAGTTTTTCTAAAATAAATTCTTTGTAAATGTTGATGATTTGTGGATTTAAAAGTATTAATATTATTAATTATAATAAGTTAAAAAATAATTAACAATTAAACAATTCATATTATTGATTTAAAGTGTATGATCACCACAAAGTGCGTTTTTGGTTCCCTTAAGTAATTTTTCCTTATTTGCATATTTAAAATTTTCCAGGTCTATTAAGCACCATCTACTGTATCAAAATTCTAAAAGACTGAATTGCCGAATTACTGAATTGTAACAAACCAGCTGCGTTAGCGACATGGTTTTATGTGTTTATGGTTTGTGTGTATGGCAAGAGTTTAACATGTGCATCCTGTCAGACACACTGGAGTAAATGTCTAGTCCCAGCCACTCAGACTGGAGGACTCTCACCACAGAAGATCTAAAAGTCATGGTCCGCTCCTATGGGATTACATTTCTGCCGCAATTCTAATGTAATCCCATACACTCCTGCCCTATCCTCTTATGCCCATATGTCTGCCGTTGTGCTTGCGTGTCGAGCAGGCGTTCAACAGAGACCCTAGCAACGAAGCCTTGTACTAACATGCTGACCTACCAATATTAGTTCTTAATTATGTTTGTTACCATAGTCCACTGGGCTAAGTAGTACAAAAGCCAAACGAGCAGGTGTTGTTACAAAACGTAATTGGGTGAGAGAGCTAATCTGTGGACAGCCTGACCTGCTGAAACTCTATAATGGACCTGCGCTGTCAGACTGTGACATTTGCATATCATTTTAATGGTTAACATCACAACTTGTAGTTGCTATTTGCACATGGTTTAGCTGTATGAAATCAAATCGCCTAAATTGCGGTATATACGCTCCGAGTCCTTTGACAATGATCTGCGTTTGTTTTTATTGTGCATATCGCTTTCATTGTGCATACCGCCATGACTAAGGAATTGTGACACAATTGTGACTAAAACGAGGGAAAAAGCAAACGTCTACTATACGTGAATGTGAAAGGTTATTAATAAAGCATTTTGCAATAATGATTCATAGGTTATTTATTATATTGATATCTTATCATGAATGTTGGTCGTTTGATAAACAATTGTTGAACCAAAAATGTATGTAACTGATTATATATAAAGTTGTGATGTGTGTAAATATATATTTGATTTCATTTTTTCTTTGTGATTTATTAAATAAATTACAAATGGAACTCATAAAATAGGCATATTTAAGGTATTTTTTTTGTATTCCAACATGACCAGTAGGTGGCACTCTCTGACTGCTACACCATGCTACACTAGGATAGTTCTCTTAATACAATACAGGGAAAAAAAACGAATATATATGTAAATGAAAGTTAGAATTGTAAAATAAACTAAAAATAAAAATGAATGAAGTAATAACTAAAATAAATAAAATAGAACAAAAGAAAATACACATTAGATACTTAAATGGCTTAAATACAATTTAGAAATGTAGCCAACTAACTGAAATAGAATATGTTTAAGGTGAAGTACTAAAATTACTAAAACTAAAACTGTAGAAAAATAAATTACAGCTAAATAGATATATATATATATAAAAACAAATAAAAACAACAAAACGCATAACAAAATTATCAAAACGAGAACTAAAAACAAATAAATAAATCAACCAACCAAGTGGTTATTTATTTATATCTGGTCCTTTTTTTTTTTACAGACTTTGTCTTGTTGGACCTGCTGGACATTGGACATCCTGTTGGGCACATAAAGCTTAGTCATGTTGACCATATGACCTTCCTGCATCTTATTGCATAATAAGAACCGTATTAAAAATAGACCTCATGTAGGTCAGATCTCAGTTCTGGGTCTAATCAAGGTCACAGAGGTCAGGCATGTGTTGAAGATACAATAGCCCCAGATGTCTTTTTTCTATTTCTCTTCCAATACATTTGTATTTACCATGTAATACAATTTAATTTTATCATGCAAGGGTCTATGACCATGGGGTCTGTGAATGTGCTTCAGCTCCGAGTCCTTTGACAATGATCTGCTTTTGTTTTTATTGTGCATATCGCTTTCATTGTGCATACCGCTATGACTAAGGAATTGTGACACAATTGTGACTAAAACGAGGGAAAAAGCAAACGTCTACTATACGTGAATGTGAAAAGTTATTAATAAAGCATTTTGCAATAATGATTCATAGGTTATTTATTTATATCTGGTCCTTTTTTTTTTTACAGACTTTGTCTTGTTGGACCTGCTGGACATTGGACATCCTGTTGGGCACATAAAGCTTAGTCATGTTGACCATATGACCTTGTTGCATCTTATTGCATAATAAGAACCGTATTAAAAATAGACCTCATGTAGGTCAGATCTCAGTTCTGGGTCTAATCAAGGTCACAGAGGTCAGGCATGTGTTGAAGATACAATAGCCCCAGATGTCTTTTTTCTATTTCTCTTCCAATACATTTGTATTTACCATGTAATACAATTTAATTTTATCATGCAAGGGTCTATGACCATGGGGTCTGTGAATGTGCTTCAGGGGGTCAGTGTCCAGATATATAAACCCACAATTTTATCACATTTATGGTCACAACTGCTTAAATTAACATTTACTATTAATTTGTTGAGTAATAAATACACTCAAAAAAATGTTTCGGTCTAAATTTACATTTTATGTAATTCAATTGCATAACAATTTTCCATCCATTTAGATTACATAGTTTTAACATAAACAAACCAATAAACTTAATGTGATTCATATGCATCAGTCATACGTGAATGAAACAGGTAAGTTGTATGTAATAGTTCACAGATTTCAAACAATATACATCTAAACTTCTGTTAATTCTCAATAAGAGCTTAGATGTCTGACAGAAATAAAGTCAATCTGGCTAATAATGAGAAGCTGTTAAAGCTGTTTTAGGAGTTCTTTAATCAGATATTGAGAGATTTAATGTATTTTTATTGTTGATTTCATCTTCGTCTGTGGCTGAAGTCAGTTGTAGTTCTTGTGTTTCTCTTTCCTTCGGTGATTCTGCTTGTTAACAGCAGCTGTTCATCATTAATGGTCAATCATCACATAATTATCTTCTTAAGTCCAACACTGCTTCAATGCTACTTTAACACTGCAGTGTGGAAACACATGAATACTGAGCAGTGTGGGGACTTTGCTGTGAACTATTACATACTTACCGGTTTCATTCACGTATGACTAATGCATATGAATCACATTAAGTTTATTGATTTGATTTGTTTATGTTAAAACTATGTAATCTAAATGGATGGAAAATTGTTATGCAATTGAATTACATAAAATGTAAATTTAGACCGAAACATTTTTTTGTAAAAAAGTGATCTATATTTTTTTCAGTACATCGAAGAAATTTACATAAAATGGTTCTGTAACATCTCCTAAGCTCCACAACATTCCAGCATAAACGCTCCCGATAAAATATTTGTTATTTAGGCTAAGCATCAACATTCACAAACCACTGTTATTTTTAACAGAAAAGCAAGCATGGGCTGCTGCGTGCATGGTTTGGCATGGCAGAATGCGAGCAGCGCTTCCTTTATTATCACTAAAAGCTGACATCTCAGTTAATCGCGATCTCATAAAGCTCTGATCCAGATCCAACTCCTCCCACCTTACATAAACCGAAACCTACCCGTCTCCACCCCCCTAAACCCACCCATCTCCACCCCCTAGATGTGGATCCAACCCCGCCCCCTGGATCTTTGTTCTGCAGTGAGGGGCTACTGCCCGCACCCGAGCTCGACCGTCAAGAGTTGTCCCGCGCCCGCACCCTGTTGCGTTGGGTCCCGCGGTACTCCCGCTGGAGTGCAGGTCTCTACAAACTCCCAGTAAATGCCTCTGCATAACAGGGAGTGTGGGAAATAAACAGAAGTTTATATTGTTTGTACTTTTATGTTTATACTGTGCAAAGCGCTTTGAGCAATGGCTGAAATTGTATGATATTTATTTTTATTGTTGTTGTTGTTTTTCTTAGAAACTTAATTGCATGACACAGCTGGTCATGTGATGTCATGTCACACCTCTGTTCATCAATTTGCACTGGCTACCAGTACCAAATTCAAGGCATTAATGCTTGCCTACAAAACCACCACTGGCTCTGCATCCATTTACCTAAATTCATTACTTCAGAGTTATGTGCCTCCAACCCCGCCCCCTGGATCTTTGTTCTGCAGTGAGGGGCTACTGCCCGCACCCGAGCTCGACCGTCAAGAGTTGTCCCGCGCCCGCACCCTGTTGCGTTGGGTCCCGCGGTACTCCCGCTGGAGTGCAGGTCTCTACAAACTCCCAGTAAATGCCTCTGCATAACAGGGAGTGTGGGAAATAAACAGAAGTTTATATTGTTTGTACTTTTATGTTTATACTGTGCAAAGCGCTTTGAGCAATGGCTGAAATTGTATGATATTTATTTTTATTGTTGTTGTTGTTTTTCTTAGAAACTTAATTGCATGACACAGCTGGTCATGTGATGTCATGTCACACCTCTGTTCATCAATTTGCACTGGCTACCAGTACCAAATTCAAGGCATTAATGCTTGCCTACAAAACCACCACTGGCTCTGCATCCATTTACCTAAATTCATTACTTCAGAGCTCATGTAAAATATAGCAACTTTTTCTAGAAGACTGGTTGTCTGAAGTCTTATGTGCATGTACATCATTTAAATATTTTTCAAAAGTGCAGTTTTAAAAAATCGTCATAAATTAGAATATATATTTAAAAACCATATTAAAAATAATATTTCTTTTTTTTCCACTGTAATTAAAAAAAAAAAATACGATTGCATTGCTATAGTAAATGACGGGGATGAATGAGAGGGAGTGGCAGTAAAGTTCTTTTGAGCTGAGTATGTGTGTGTGTGTGCGTGTATGTGTTTGTGTGTAATTGAGCAGCAGTAGTTTGATGTAAGGGACGGGCTGGGCGAGTCAGTCCGCCTACACGGGCTTTGTGTTGATGTTCAGGCGGTGCTACAGCGCTGACAGTCCGCGACAAGAGCAACACTAGAGATCAGCATTCCCAACAACACCCATCCACCATAAAGAGAGGGAGAGAAAGAGGACAGACGGTGTTTTGGGCGATTTGACTGTAAGGGAGTGGAGCTGGACTGAATCATGGCCACTTCTACGTCTTGCACAGGCTCCACGCTGCTGCAGCCAATTAGTAAGATTATTGATCTGCCACTGGACCAGGTAAACTGTCACTTTAACCAGGATTTATGTTTCGCTTTTGTCATTTTGCCTAGCAAAGATCGCTAGCTAGTGTGGAGTCGTTTGCTGTAAATCCAGCACATTTGATGCGCACATCCGTCACCGACAACTGCACGATATAAGAGCGTTTTAGTACGGTATTCTTGTATATGACATAACAAGCCTGAAATTAATCTTCGCGCATTTCATAACGCCCATTTGCCTTCGTTTCCTTCCTGTATTTTTCTCAAAATATTGGCTGATGACAAGTGAGTCACTGGCTGTGAAGCTAAACCAAATATTTTATCTGTTAAGACAGCATTTTAGGCATCTATGCGCCTTCAGAGAAGTCCAAACATCAGGCTCGCGAGCGAAGTTGTCTAAGTAGGCAGCTCGATAGGTTTGGACACACCGCCATAGTCACGATCTCGCCTGTGCTGGAGCGACGTTCTGCAAAAAGGAGATTATATTTACATATGTCCCTAATACAACCCGACGTATAATAAATTATTAAAGCAAAAGAACACTCCAGTTAAGGCAGCGAGACGAGAGTTGTTTCAGTTCCCCTTTTTTGACGTTGTTATTTTGTTGAGGGGTCGTCTTCTTGGATGTTCATATTTTTCTCAAGATGATTTATCTAAACGTGAAAACAATTATATATTTTTAATGTAATTTACTTTGGAAATTGCAAGACCAGAGGTTTTCTGTTACTATACGTTCTAAATAGTGGTAGGGACTTTGATTCATCTAAGTGACTCGAATCTTTTGAATCAGTGCACTAAAAGGATTCATTAACTCGTTCCTTATTTTCTCAAGTTTTTTTTTCTCTTTTAATAACACAGTTATTATCTAATGATAATATGTATATATAAAATATTATACCATATTACACCTTATTTATTTATTTATATGTATCCCATATATTGGTGTTTTTTACCAAGCACTTTTCAGCAGATATATTGTGTGGTTGCTGGAATCATTTGCCTGTTGTAGATTTGTGTATGTGTGTGTGTTGTTTAATTATTAATAAAGCCTGTGGATTAGGTCTGAACGATTTTGGAAAATAATCTAATTGCGATTTTTTTTTACCAATATTGCGATTGCGATTTAATATGCAATAATTTTTTTTTAAAGCTCTTTATGTTCTGTATTATTCAACAAAGACAAGCTACAAATCATTGTCTAGTATGACCAACACACTATTAGATAGATTAAACATAAATGTTCTTTTCTGTAGGCCAGGCCTATATGTTACGATGAAATTAGGTGATGCATGAATTGATATGAATGACATTTTTGTTTAACGACTACAATCACAGTATATTGCCTGATTTGTTGAACTTCCAACCTTGTAAGCATGTAATAATTATGACAACATAAAGCACTGACAAATAAGCCTGATGTAAACATGAATATGAAAGTCAGTAACAAATCACACAAACTAAAGTAGACTGCAGAAATATAAAAACAAGTCTGTTGCTTTACCACACTACTTTAGGTAATTCACAGTCACTGTAATAAACATATGTAAACATGTGCACTGCACTTTTTAAACACTGTCTGTTAACTTTAACTTTTACTTTTTTGGTCGCGCCCCCCTTTAAACCTATAAAAAAAAAATCTTACTTAATTAAAAAAACCTACAGGGAAAAAAACACCTGCATCACTTGAAACATTGAAAAATAGCATAGAGAGAATAACTTATTATTATTCTCTCTCTGTTATTTATTTATTTTTTGTGGGTTTCTTGCTGTCCGCTAAGGCATAGGACACACACAGGCTTTCCTCCTCACCAACGACATTAAACACAGTGTCTACACCGGACGCGAGCGGCAAAATACAGTAGAACCATTATAATCAGTGACGCTGTGTACACTGGATGCAGCGCGGCGCGACAAAACCCGACATTAAACTGATGCCTTGTTCTATTTATGACGTACTGACACAAAGTTAAAATGATTTGCAACGGTCGCTTTGTCGCGTCCAGTGTAGAGCTGTTGCGGCGCGACGCGACAACTGTAGCGTCCGGTATAGACACAGTGAGTGAAGCCGAGAGCAAGATATGCCTCGTCATATTTTCTGCATTTAGCTTTTGAATGACCAGCACCTGCCTGGGTCTGTGCGACTTCATCTATGGCTTTTCTCTTCGCTTTCACAAACCGATCCATCTCCCATTCTAAGTTACGTCCTTTGGCTGTTTACTTATTTCTTTTCTTTTTCTGCTGATGGCCCGCGCTCGACTTGAAGCAGCGCTGCTTAGACCGATGGGTGTGTGTCATCAAAGTACTGCCAGAGTTATAAGAGAGCGCGGATGTCTCCTTATGCTTTCTCTCGCTCGCCGTACTTTGATGTCATACACCGATCTGATCTTCAAGTCCAACACACCTCTTTACTCTCGCCTGTCACGTGACTGAGTGTAATCGCAGCCTCTGCGATTGAAAAATCGAAATTTTTCATATCGCGATATTATCGCAAATGCAATTAATCGTTCAGCCCTACTGTGGATAAGTCATATGCCTCAGGTTAAGTCATAACTTTCTTTCATAACCCTTTGCAAAACAAGAGTTATTCGGCATCTGTTTCCAACGCTGCTGTATTAAGCTAGTGTGAAGGTGTGATCAAATATTAATCAAATGTAGCAGTTAAAATCTTGGCTGCCATGCATAAAAGTGATAGAAAGTACACTTTCATGTACAATGAGATGTTCTGAAGTGCATCTAATTGAAAGCCAGTTTTTATCAATGTGATGTAAAAGGTTGGTTAAATCTGAACTATCATTCACATTGCTGATCATGCAGAAATTTTCATGATGGACGCAGCTTCGTTCAATTTGTTTACTTACACATGGAATTAGTAATCATACAGCAAATACTCCAAACATGGACGGCAAGACCTTTATCAGTGTCCGCTGACTGGTGTTGCTTGTGTGTTCAGATATTACATCAATTAGTCTTGCTCTGTTCCGACTTCAGTGTATTCGCTGCTGCACACATATCGTACTTTCAGCTTCTTTGACCTCTTTAGCTGGTGCTGCCCATCTCGTAATGCAAGTCTGGGCAAGAATGAGTCAAGAAATGCAGTCATTCTGGAGTGTAGACATTCTTGCATTTCTTTTGAAACACCCACCTGTTCAACCTCTTTATTTTTTATATTAAAGGGGTCATATGATGCGATTTCAATTTTTCCTTTCTCTTTGGAGTGTTACAAGCTCTTGGTGCATAAAGAAGATCTGTAAAGTTGCAAAGACTAAAGTCTCAAATCCAAAGAGATATTCTTTATAAAAGTTAAGAGTCAGCCACACCTACCTAAAACAATGCATTGGATAGCTGGCCAATCACAGCACACCTCGCTTTTTCAGACCGATGAGCTTTGTAAAAATCGACGCGTTTCAGAAAGGCGGGGCATAGAGAAGAAACAATAATGTACAGTATGTGGAAAATAATGTGTTTTTTTAACCTTAAACCGCATAAACACATTTCATTACACCAAATACACCAAATAATGTTATTTTTAGCAGCATCATATGACCCCTTTAAATATATTTTATGGGTGTGGGACCCAACAGCTAGTGTGTTAAAGGAATAGTTAACCCAGGAATAAAAATGTACTCACTCTCAGGTCATCCAAGTGTAGATCGGAACAGATTTGAAAAGATTTAGCATTACATCACTTGCTCACCAATAGATCCTCTGCAGTGAATGGGTGCCGTCAGAATGAGAGACCAAACAGCTGATAAAAACATCACAATAATCCACAA